TTCCTGATGCAGGGCAAGCATCTTGCAAATGAGTTACTGGAGAAGTTCAGCCTCAGCACAAAGTGGCCGTTCTTTGTGTTTAAATTGCAACAAGGGAGATTTAGGGTAGACATCAGAAAGGCTGTTTAGCTGTAAGGGGAATTAAGCACTGGGATGGATTACCTAGGAGAGGTTCTGAAATCTCTGTTGGCTTTCAAGAGCAAGCTAGACCGAGACCTGATAGGGATGGTTTATGTATTGGGGGTCCTGCCTTGGTCAGGAAGAAGGATCAGATGAACTATTGAGGTCCCTTCCAGCCTTGCTTGCATCTGATCCTGTTGCCCCCAAATCTTCTCATTATAACACAAAACCAAAAGGCAGTAAAAAGCTAAAATTGCTCCTGAAACCCAGGGCAAACTGCTGGCTTCATCATAGCCAGACAATGCTCCGTGGGTTTCAGTCAGCCGCAGGGGGCAGGGACCTGGGGCCTGCAGGACTTCTAGAAAGTGTGAACTATCTGTGTGCCTGGAACAGCTTGCCGCAGATACAGAAGCATCAGGAAAACCTAACTGAGAGTGAGAAACACTTAAAATGACAAGCCAGCCCATTTCAAGAGGGCTGTACCAGCAACTGGGATTGCTTGAACCTGTTTAGGTTTAAAAAAAAATCTGAATGAGCACTGTCCCCTTAAGAAGGGACCAACACAATACTAGTGAACATGTACACGAGGCTTTGCATCGTCAGGGCTCTACAGACCTCTCCCGCAAGCTGTCGGGGCTTGCCCAGGCTTGGCATGAAACCCAGCCCAGTGCTGGGTCTCTGCTGGCGGGGACGCTTTGTAGCACGGGCATCGCAAAGAAGTCTGCGGGCCGCACCTCCAGAGTGCATTACGCTGGGCTCCTTTTGCACAGACCAGAGAGAGTGCTGTGGTTTTTAATGGGGTTCATGGAGAAGGGCTGTGACCTCCTCCTGCTTTCTGGTCTCTCCCAGGTTTTGCCACCAGCTGGACTTCTCCACCAGCGGTGCGCTCTGTGTAGCCCTCAACAAGGCGGCGGCTGGGAGCGCCTACAAGTGCTTTAAGGAGCAGATGGTGACCAAGGCATACCTCGCCCTGGTAAGCATACCCTCTTTGTCGTATGCTCACCCATAGCCATAGCATCCTCCCTGGGCTTTAACTGGATCCTGTCCTTTCAAGGGTGATGTTATGGTCCAGAGGACTTAGGCCTATTGTTAGTTCTCCACCCTATTGACTGTGAGGGGTGCCATGTGGGATGGGGAGCATGCGTCTGGTTCACAGCTCTTCAGCCACAGCCTGGAGGATGAAGGGCTTGAAGTCAACCAGAAGGTCCAGCTAACTCTGATGCAGCAGACAGGATTTTCACACTTGGCTCTTTCCACTTCCTGACGCTTTGTGGGGGCCAGATTTCTCTGAGCCTTCCTCCTAGGAGCTTGGGAAGCTCTCTGCTGAGAGCATTTCTGGACTAAGGGTACTGGGAGGAAGAAGCTAATGCAGTGGTTAGTGCTGGTTCTTGCAGGTCAGAGCATGGTCAAGCTGAACACTGGGCCCTGAGGCAATGGCTCGCTGTGCACCAGCTCAGGTGCACTGGAGAGTGAAAATGGTTGTGCTTTCTTTTTGCAACTCTGCCATGATTTGCTCTGCTCACAGAAAAGCCTAGAGACCTCATCCATCTCCCAGTCTCTCACCACCATCCTGAGCACAGAGGAGAACATATCTCAGCCATCACCTTGGCTCTCTAGTCACACATCTGAGTGGGCTCAGAGCCATAAACTCAGCCAGATCTGTTGCACATGAAGGAAGGAGCTATCAAAAAGACAGGCCCTGCACACTCAGCTATAAGGCTCCAGATCAGGATGGCTCCCTGTGACCTGTCTGCATGCATCTCCTGTCCCAGGGCTGCCTGTGCCCAGGAGACGCATCATCTGCTCCATGAGTTGGAGTTTTTAATCTCTGACTGATAAATGCAGTTGGGGCTGTTTCTCAGGCAGGATAAATATACCCCAAGTCTCTTGTGTTCGGCCTTTGCTGCTGAATATAGCAGGATGCCCTCTTCTTCATGGTTGGGACAAATGCATGTCATTTCCCATTCTTCCACGTGTGGGTTTAAACATGTGGGAGAAGTGGGCTGCAAACGAGATCTGCTCTAGGGCTACTCTCTAAGGAAGGTTTCCATGCCGTGGCTTTCCCCAGCTGAGCACAGAAATCCTTCCTGCTAGCTAATGCAATCCCCTTGTTTTCAGTGGGGGCTTGTGCACATGAGCCAGGGGGCCATATTCAATTCACAGCCAATTAATTCACAGCTTCAAGATATTAATTCACAGCTGCAAGCAGCTCCACTTGCAGACAAATTATGTTTATTCCCACAACACGCTCCATCCCGCAGGAGGAAACGAGCACACGTGAAGTTAGCATGGCTTGGTGTCATCTCTCAGACAGAACCAATTTGTCTCGCGGCCAAAAAGCTGTTGCCGTGCAGCTGATTCAAGGAGCGGCAATGCTAGTTTCCTTGGTCCTAGATGTAGTGCTTGAGATGCTGGAGTTAGTTACCGATGTCCCTGTTGGCAAGCAGTGCTTCTTGGAGGCTGGGCTTTCCTTGTGTGAGCCACGTAGACAAAAGGTGTCATATTAATGGTGTAATTGGGCTTCCTTCGAAGTTGGCAACAGGTGCCGAGACACAGATCCTAAAACAGACATTAGCTATTGTCAGAGGGGCTCTGCATAGAGACCCTTGCCAATGTGGGATCAGGGCTTGCAATTGTAAGTCCTTTGGTGCTCAGGCCATACTGCCTTAAATGAGAGTGCAATTTCTGTAGTAAGCCCCCATCTTTGTGGAGGAGAGGGGATGGCCAGGATGAAGAAATAGCAGGGGAAAAATTGGGGGTGTTGTTCATTGCAGGCATAAAGTCATACCCAGCGATCTGTTTTAATAGCCACCCCATTTTTCAGTGCCTGATGGAGAATTACACACATCCTTGGTGGTCCATTAACTCACTGTATCGCAGCGTGACTTTTAAACTCATCTTCCTGCTACGGGGTAGAACATCTACATGTATTAAATTACGACGTGCGGCTGGGTTTTGTTTTATTTTGAGTGACCTGGAGGGGTTTATGGCTGACTCTTGGAGGTTAGCGTGTCCCCTGATCTGATGCTGTCTTCTCTGCACCGCAGGTCAGGGGCCATGTGAGTGAAAGCAGGGTGACGATCCGTTACGCCATAGGGAAGAACACGACAGAAGGCCTGACCCACATGATGTGCATCGAAGGGACGATGGGTGAGCCGCAGTCAGCCATCTCCTGGGTCCTTTCCTTACCCTGCCCTGCCAGACTGGAAGCTATCATCAAAATAACTGAATTTCTGTCCTCTCTCTCATTCCAGGCTGTGAAAACCCGAAGCCTTGCCAGTCCGAGCTCGTTGTTCTCGAGCATGGGACGTACAGCGGTGACCCAGTGACCAAAGTGCTGCTGCAGCCCCTGACAGGTAGGAGCCAGAGGCCTGGAGCAACCTTAGCCTGGACCTAGGTTGTGAAATCTTATGTGAAGGGAAGCCCTCTATCCACGGCGTAGGACAAAGGGAGCTTGTTGTGTTGGATGGAGCCCAGGAATCGAGTGAGAGCACACCTGGCTCTTCTTAAGATAATCACTTCTTTGGAAAGTTAACGGGACTGGTATCCAGATCATGCAATGGGACTGCAAAAATGTATTCCCCCCTGGGGACGGGCTGGACCCCAGGATCTGTTGAGTTCTTAGTGGGTGTTCAGTTTCCCATGTCTTTCATTTCCCCCAATCCTCCCCAGGTTATAGTCATAGACAGACAGCTCTTAATGACTTGTATATATCAACAATTAGATTTGATGTATTTTAATGAAAAGGGTTGATCATGAAGGCTCCCCTCCCCCTCCAGCTAGGTGAAGAAATTATATGGAGCTTCCCCATTCACTGTTGAATAGCCATTTAACTAGGCCAGGGTTATCAGTTTATCAGTTATCAGGTTATCCGTTATCAGGTTATCAGTTAGGTTTCGACTCTTGACAGTGAGTGCCATTCCTTAGGGTAATGGGTTTCAATTACTCTGTGTCACAGTGGTCAAACTCTTGGTGCTTTCCTGTTTAAATCAACAGAACGATGCGATCTGGCCTTGCAAGCCTGGCATTGTACAAGGTCACCCAGAGTTGCCTCTGGTTTCAGTTACACATTTACAGCAATGACATACAGTCCCTCTCTTTCTATAACGAGGGGCATAGATAAGAGGAAGCACTTATGCCAGGGTCTTTAATGTGTTTCTTATATAGAGCCGTTCTGCTGACTGCCACTGACAGCCAGGCCAGGTAGGTCTCATGGCTCCAACTCAAAAGGAAAGTCTTTGTGGGGCAAGCTGGAGGGAAGTAGAGAGACCTACACTAGACGGATCATGGGATCAGACTTTCCTTTTGTGGCTCGGGCCCTTAGCTGCACTTCGGGTCTGCACCAGGAGCATGAGCTCACTGGGAGCTAGGAAATGATGAAAGCCAAACTGGTGACAAACTAGGGCTTCCAAAGGTCCTAGAAGGCCCTGCATAAGGAGCCCTCAAATATTAGTTTTTGCAACCAGCCTGCTTTATACCCTCGTTCCCCTTTTCCCCTTAGGGCGGACGCACCAGCTCCGGGTTCACTGCAGTGCCATCGGACACGCCATCGTGGGAGACTTCACCTACAGCTTCAAGAAGGACAGCAACCCGTACAGAATGATGCTACACGCCTACTACCTGCGCATCCCCACCAAGCAGGAGCTCATTGAGGTCTGCGCGCCCGACCCCTTCGTCACCGCCATGGACAGCCATTGGGTCCCTCACCGCACCGTGCACCAGCTGGACGAGGTGATCCAGGAACTGAAGGACAAGGCCAGCCAGGCAGGGGACGAGGAGGGGAGCCAGGAAGCCGTGCTGAGGGATGGAGGAGAGGAGAGGCTGAGCCCAGCCCAGAGTCCAGAGACAGAGGAGCAGCAAGCCAAGTGCGAGCAGTGGCTGGCAGAGTGGGCGCTGGAATGAGAGCTGCCCTTGCTGATGCCTTGCAAACCCACACCTCCATTTTTAATCCCTGCAGGCCCTGCCCAACCCCGCTGTCCCCCCAGAACCCAGCGCTGCCGCCACATTTGCACTTTCCTAGGCTGTGTTTTCGTAGCCTGAATCTTCCACGGATTCAAGTCTGGGACTGAACTCTGATGCATTTGAGCACCCGCAAGGATTTCTTTCCAATGCATCGGCCCAACCCCTGCCTCTGCCTGCACCTTCCGTAGTCGGTGCCAAAGCCACGTGGTTTCACCCTCGCGTGTCAGAAAATCGGTAGGACCCCCTTCCTATAGCAGTCTTCGTTAGCATCAGCTGTTAGGTGGGCCTCAGCAAACCTGATGCTGTGACCCATCTAGTGCAGGAAGTGAGGGAGGTTCCCCCAGACCCTCAGTCCTGGAAGGAGGCTGAGATGCAGCCTAGCTCAAGAGCATCCCTGATTGGGAGCGGGGTAAAACTGTCTGGTAGGACCTGCTTTGCTTTCCCACTTCCCCCTGCCCCTCGTTCCCAGCTCTTGAGGAATCACCTGGGCACTGTGTCCCATTGACTCTGATGATCGTCCAGTGCAGGGGATGAAGAAGTGGCACTCGCTGTGTTTCCTGAATAAGGGTGAAGGGATGTGACAGCCAAGGGCTTTGTTACAGGGTCATGAGGTGTTAAAACCGAGCTGCTTGCAGGGCCCCTCCAAGGGAACGGCGCACTCGGAGCACTTGGCCTTGCTGTTTTCCTTGCTGCATTTTGTCCGCTTGTCACTTTAAAAGGTTTTATGGAAAACTGAGTTAATGAACACTGAGGGATTTTACATTTTTTAGAGAAGTTTGACAAGGAACGCAGCCTTGTGGTGATTCTGCAATGCCGTCGGTCTCAAGCCTTTCTACATTTCTAGCCTGTTTTGCCCCTAGCAGGTTAACAACGTCCAAGATCCCAAAGCTTTTCTCTCTTGAAAGAGCTGTTTTATTACCCCCTCTTCTATCCATCCTTTTCTAACTCTGGTTTTTAGTTTTTGACGGCATTCCAGGTAATTCTTAGCTGAACATAACCCTGAAGTGAATTAAAAGCAGTCAGCGTATCCTACTGCCTGGAGCCCCCTTCGACAGGGCGCTGCATGTCTTTCATCACTAGATGGTGCCCTGGCAGCTCTTGTGATCACACCAGCTTTGGACGGCAGCGGTGGGACCCGAGGAAGCCACACAACCTAAAGGGATGTGAAGGAGCAGATGCAAACCGGGATAGAAAGGAAGATCCGGCTGGGAGCTGGAATTCAGCAAGAATCAAGGAAGCCTTTGTGGGAACTTCTTTGCTTTGTGAAGCTGTTTCACTCCTTTAAGGCTGTCTGGCCCATTCAAGTCTTCATCCTGCCCGGCTGTTGTTTTAAATAACAGGATGACAAAGTTTTAATGGCGTTGAGCACTGCAGTTTGTAGGTTTTTGGGACCATAGACTGTGGCAGCACATGCAGCCCTGTTGTGACTCGGCTCTCTTAGGTATTTTCATAGCAAAGCTCCCTGTACCATACCAGGGACTGAGCAGCTGCATCAGCGCATGCCTTTAGTGCCCCTTAATCCCCAGGCTGTTGTGCATCTAATGCGATGCATGCTCCCATGCTTGAGAAAATCCACCTCTAGCCTCCGATGACTGATGAGAAACCCCCCCGTGGTTCTGCCTGGCTTGCTTTGGCTGCAAGCTTGTATGTCTGCCCCTCTGCGTGAGTTGAGGTCACGTGTTTACATGGGTGCATCTTCAAAGATGGTCTCGCTGGAGCGTGTAGCAGGCAGGGATGCTTGTTCTAGGCACAGCTGTTTGTGCGTCTCTTGGTTTCTGTTGCACTCAGACCAACACATGCCCCTTGAGAGGGAGATGAGCAGGCTGGGGGGTGGATGGAAACAATACACGTGTGTTCCTGCAGTGTCCAGTCTGCAGTAGGCTATGGACTAGTCCTTGAGATAGTAGCTCATCGTTGGAGCTCCTGATACATAGATGGGAGTCTCCTGTTTGCTGCTTAATGTTCAGCACTTGGTGTATGTGTCCCATGGGCTAAAGGCCTGATAAAACCAGAGGGATCATTGCTTTTGCAGGAGTTTTCC